AATGTAGAGAGTATACAACACACACACAATGCACGTCATAAGAGAATGTGGGAATGTAGAGAGTATACAACACACACACAATGCACGTCATAAGAGAATACGGGAATGTAGAGAGTATACAACACACACACAATGCACGTCATAAGAGAATGTGGGAATGTAGAGAGTATACAACACACACACAACACGTGTGACATCAGAGAATGCGGGAGCATAAAAATCATATGACACACATCCAACGCACGCAATCACAGAACATGGGAACATAGAAAGTATAAAACAAACATACAAACAACACGTGTGATCACAGAACGTATAAGAATAAAAACCATACAATACATATACAACCCGTCAACCGCCCACATTATTATTATTATTATTATTATTATTATTATTATTATTATTATTATTATTATTATTATTATATTAATAATATTATTATTATTATTATTATTATTACCATTTTATAGGCTACTATTATTAGTAGTAGTTACATCATCATCATCATTATCATCATCATCATCATCATCATCATCATCATCATCATTACCATCATCATTGTCACTATTATTGTCATCATCCTCATCATCATCATCATAGGATGTCTAACCCCCCCTCCCCCTCACACACATGAAGCAGAGCATGAGGTATCTGAGGGAAGTTATTAATTTTACTATTATTACCATCATCATCATGGGATGTCTAACCCCCCCCCTCCCACACACACATGAAGCAAAGCAGAGCCTGGGGTACCTGAAGGCAGTTACTCTCATTGTCACTATTATTATCATCATCATCATCATCATCATCATCATCATCATCATCATCATCATCATCATCATCATCCTCATCATCATCATCATCATCATCATCATCATCATCATCATCATCATCATCATCATCACCACACATACACAAACACACACATACACATACACACACACACACAAACACACACACACACACATACACACACACACACACACACACACACACACAAACACACACAAAGCAGAGCACGGGGTACCTGAGGGAAGTTACTCTCGTCATCCAGGATGTGCAGGATGCCGGCGGGCTTGGTGGCGATGAGGTCGATGGTCGGCTGGTTGTCCTTGAACTCGATGTGTTCCCAACGGATCTTCTCTTTGGTGTACTCCTTCTGCTCGATACGGAACACGTGCTGGTTGAAGAAATACTGCAGCGTCTCGTTGGCGTAGTTGATGCACAGCTGCTCAAAGCTGTTCAGATGGAAGTCCTGGATGCAGAAGATACGGTAAACTTTATTGTGATCCACAGGGGATGTTTTGATAAAAAAGGAATTGCATATGGGATGTTTTCATGAGAAAGGAATTGCATAAGGGAAGTTTTCATGAGAAAGAAATTGCATAAGGGACGTTTTGATAAGAAAGAAATTAAAATAGAAATTTCAGAAAAGACAAAGTAAATTTTATTGATCTACTAGGTAGATTTTGATGAGGAAGGAAATTAAAATAGAACCCCCCCCCCCCCCCGAAAAGACAGGGTAAGCTTTATTGATCCACAAGGGAAGTTTTGATAGGAAAGGAACAAAACTAGAGCTTCCGACTAACAAGCTCTAAGCAAAGCAGAGAGTACTTCTGTGCTTGGCCAGAAAAGAAAAAAAACAGTGTGGTCGCAAAATACACACAGTATGAGAGAGAGAGAGAGAGAGAGAGAGAGAGAGAAAGAGATGGGGGGGGGGGGGGAGGAGACAGAGAGAGAGAGGGGGAGAGAGAGAGAGAGACAGAGACAGAGAGAGAGAGAAGGGGGATACAGGAAGCGAAATAAAGAAGTGTGTGTGCATATGAGAGAGAGAGAGAGAAGGGGAAAGAGACAGACATACAGGCAAACAGACAGATGGATGGACAGAGCGAAAAAAAAGGAAAGAAAGAGTAAAAAGAGAGGAGTAGGCAGAGATAGAGAGAAAGAGAGAGAGAGAGAGTGAGAGAGAGACAGAGAGATAGAGATAGAGACAAAGAAAGTGATAAAGAGTGAGATAAAAGAGAGAACAACACACCTCAAATCCAAAAATATCCAGCACGGCAAGAGACGTCGTCTTCTCTCTCTCCGCGCGGCAGATGATCATGTTCACTCTCTCCACCAGCCATGAGAACAGCCGGCCGTACAATGCTTTGGCAACTGCATCTCTGAAAACGAGACGAGTGTTTTAGTTTTAGTTTAAGTAAGCATTTAACAGCATGTGC